AAAAAAGGTGGGGAGAGGGGGACAGACAGGCTGTGACAGAACAGTAACTAACCTGCCAGCCACTTGAAAGTCATTAAGCAGGGAAGCAGAAAGCTGCCTGTGACACTGCCACATTCCACAGCACCTTCAGCACAACGTCCAGCAGCAACATACAGAATCCACAAGCTAGGCACGTCAAAGAACAACAAAAATCCTGCCACAACACACGTTTCATTCAGCAACAGGAATTATGGCTAGCTGCCATGGCTCTTAATACACTGCAAGTGTTCAGTCCTCACTAGATTAAAGACGGAGCTGTAGCAGTCTAATTCTCCTTCACACTTCATTTTGGGAAGATTAACATCACTTAAGGGAATAATTCACATATTTGCTCCCCTTGACCTCATGAAAACTAAATATAGTACTTCAAATACAATTATTATTTTATCAACCAACGCTAACCTGCTTTCAAATTTTGTTATAAATCAAGTGTGCAGCATTCACATTACAGATGCAATTTCCATCTCACAAAAAAAAAATTATTATTTGTGCATTTCAATCACAGGCACTTTTGAAAAACTCACCTCAATGCTAGTACGAGACATTACTGAGATAAGCAACACAGAAGAGGTGCACAGACCTGAAGACCCCAGTTCTCTGGCAACCTTCTACTGCATATTCAAATAGCAGAAGCCTCAGGTTTTGACCGTTACAATAAAAATTGTTGCAAAAGAACCGTGCATGCGTTACAGAAAAGATGGCTTCTTCCCTCAAAACAAATTACTACAGTGTTTATTCATAACAAGTCCACTTTAAAGACACCTTCCAATTTCTTCTTTTATTGCTTTAGCCAACACTGTTCTAAACCTTCCTCCTTTTAAAATGGAAAATACATGTCATTGCTAAATCAGCCTCCTTCAATCACCATGACAGGCCATTATCTACAGCATCACTAAAGTCAGCAGTGCATGCAAACAGATTCCATAAGGTAGGAGAAGACTCAAACATGATTAAGTAGTTAATTTACAATCAGCCCTAACACTTCTTGAACTCATTTGCCTTACCGAAGAACAGCTATTCATCAGTACGTACAGCAATTCCTGTATTTTACTGGAATAAGACCAAGCATTGCAGTGCAGTTCCACATCCCCTTTTTTTTTTAAAAAACAATCTTTCCTTTACATATACCAAATCCACTTGCAATATTGCAGCAATTCATGTTTTATTTTTATAAATATCTTAATTAAAAACCCACACATATAAACAGTGTATTTTTAATTTTTTAAATTTCTGTAAGTGTTATCCATTAAGAGTATCCAGAACATGAACCCACAGCATGTCACCTCACCAGGCAGCACCTGAAGAAAGTTTGGTATCAACTCCTAATAAACAAACTCCTCAAGAAAGCCAAACCTATACACAGGAAAAAAAAAGCCAAAAAACCCCCAAAAAAACCCCCACCCAAGCAACACCAACACCACAAAAAGCTTATTCCTCTGCCACTGTATTTTCGCTGCCTCTGATCCCCTGTGACTTATTCTTTCTACTTTGACCCTTCAGACATCACACATCTTGGCCAAACGCGCATTTCCAGCACTGGTTCTTTTCAAGGGGGCAGTCATAAGGCCTGGACGAAATCCATCAAGGCCAGGTATTCAGTATTACAAATGGGACTGTTTCCGTCCTCACCACACAGCTCGAGACCCTCTACGTGAAGGGGTGAAGCAGAACAGATAGGCATTCTTCTCAAATTTGGACTTGTTTATTCAACAGATTTTTGGGACAGTGACACAACTCCTGATGCAGCGACAGAAAATTGCCCGGAATTCAATATTCAGATACACATTTGAAGACAAAAAGCGATGGAAACATTCAAGGCAGGCAACATTCCCTCAGCGTGGCTGCATCTGTGTAGAAACAGGCACATCTTGACTCAAGACAGCTCAAGCAGAAAAGGGTGACAACAATGGACGGTGCCTTTCCAAATCTTTGGCCAAGTGAAAATTCCAGGGTATAGCACATATTCTGAGGATGCTGTTGGGTTTACAACACCCATCTTTCAACCTGTCAAAAAAACCATTCTCTGATCCACCTGTTTTTCATAGCAGATTTAACACAATTACGGTCACTATTTGTTTCTGTTTGCTTCGGTTCTAGGCAGAAGGTACCAACGCTAGTCTTTAAACTTTGGTAGCTACGGGAAAGACAGAGAGAGGTTTCTGTACTATTCCAAGCGCCTGTGGCTTTTAGGTGAATGACACTCTCTGCTGAGCCAATACAGCGTTTATAAATCGTATGTGAGCAGTTAAGCTAGCTGCTCACAAATAATAAAGCAGCTGACTCCAAAATAAAAAAAAAATACCATGCTTGATATCACTCCTGAAAATCCGCATGGAGAAAAGCAGATTTCAGATAGCCCCAAAACTGGAATTAAACAGCCGGACAATGCCACCAAAAGGAAAAAAATATTCTCAACACAGACACCGCAAAAGTATTTCCAAAATTCCTGAATATGCATACAAAAATATGAACTTTATTAAAAAAATTATAACATTTTCCAACTCAATGATCAGGACAAAACAAAAAGCCCCTGATCACAGTAGAAAGCCCGTGAACAAGGAAGTACATGCAGAGCATCTCAAAACTATGAATTCATTTCCTTTCTATTTGGGGTAGAAAGGAAAGCTGTGGGCATCCAGATTTAGTTGGGAGCAGCCAGCCACAGAAATGTGGAAGCTCTCCTTGGGCAGGTAGAGTTTTATCAACAGTTACTGCAAACGAGGCTTCAGTTGTGGTAAGCTCACGTAGCTTATGAAGCTTTTTTTGTTGCCTTTTTCAACATTAAAAGGCAGAACAATCACGCCTGCAGTTCTTAGAACTATAAGCCTGGGGCACAGACAGGTTTGTAGGGGTTTTTTTTTTTATTAGTAAAGAGCATAACAGAGAAAAAACGGTATAAAACTGGGGCTTCTAGGAGATACTGTAATATACCATCAGGGTTTGGCTATTTGCATTACATACACTAAAAAGGCAACTGATGTACAAGATCACAGTTTACTAAATAAGGGCTGATCCTGAGCTTTCACTGAGAATACTCCCATATGGATTTCATGGATTTGTAGGTTCGCAGCTGAAACTACAGGAGCAGGAAATTAGCCCAAATTAACAAGTTGGATTGTGGTTTTGAGTAGAGCTAGGGATCAACTAAAACAGAAGAGGTAGGAGACGCTCAGAAGATAACGAAGGCATTGGCATTTAGCGGTGAGGATCACTAAAAAAATTCTGGCTTTCCCAGTAATGAGCCAGTATTTCAGGACAAAACCTGTATAATCCAGCACAACACGGAAAAAGTAACTGGAGATGATGACATAAACATTTACATGGTCTGCAAAACCAGGATGACATCATTCATCATTCTTTAACTAGAATGAGATTACAAGTGATCAGGCAACTTATTCTTAAAAATATTGTAATTTCTGAAATCACGTTACTAATGCTGCTGGAGCAGAAATAACATCAATGGTCATACGAACCCATCTTTAAGCATGTAACATTCTCCACATTTTACCAATACTACACGCCCACCTGGCATTCATCTAGCTACTGACATCATCAGACATTTAGCCCTCTGGAAGTCTACCTAGGCACGCTTACCTTACATAGACACAAAATTACTGATGACAGCACGAGACCACGTTCCAACAACTTCACACGTGAAGTCAAAGCCCCAGCACAGAGGGCCACGGCTGTAACACCAGGACCCTGGTCCACTAGACCACTGTGCCCTTCCTGGCCCTTTCCAGGGTCCAGGCATCGTTTCTCACACGCTGTACATTTCTCCAGAACCTCCTATTCTCAGAGCTGAGACCCTGCACATGACACAACCGCCCCTCTCTGAGAAGTAAAGCTGTCTAGACATCCTTGTGGTATAATCACACCCTCTGCCTGAAAAAGGCCATCTCCGCGAGTACTGCATACACGCTGGGACACAGGACAGCAGAATCGCATAACAACCTAAAAATCCACAGAACAAACTAAAATATATTACTGGTTAAGACAACACAACACATTAAAAATAAATCCACACACATTTCCATTACTCATTTTCTGTCTCACCGTGGAAAAGATTATAGAACAACATTAAAACATTAAGATATTAAGTTCCATCTCCTGCAGCTCCCATCCAAATTGTATAACCTCTTTTTCTCCTTTTTAGGTCAACTCTGACCTTAACTGGTCCTGCAGCTAAATACCATCTTGCTCAGAAGGATTTGCTTGAGATGGCACAGCAGGCCTGAAGCAAAGCAGGAAAACGCATCCAAGTCCATAAGGTGTAAGCAACCACTGTTTTTCTCTTTCTTCCAGGCTACCTTTAATCTAGAGCCTGCTGCTTCACCTTAATGCCATTCTGTACTTCGTAGTCTATTTAGAAAAACCTTCTTTCCCTCCAGGAATTAGTCACCTTTCCTAACTAAGAAATTCCCACAAAATCTCTCAACAACAAAAACCCACTGCCTCAAATCTCCACTGAAATGCGCCTCTGAAGACAACTTACAGGAAACAATGCCTTAAACCATTTTACTCGCTCTTGCTACAAATATTAGAGAAGACTCTGTGGAAAAACTGAAGTATGTGTATGTACAAGGTGTCCTTCAGTTCACTCACTGTGTGTATTTGTTTATGCGTGAGTTTTCATTGACTTTCAAGTATCCATATCCCCTGTAACTCTTCAGCACAGGAGAGGAAAAAAAAATTAAAATTCAAATAAATGAAAATATTTAAAAGGTGAAAATATGATTATAAATACATGGAAATTGAACTGAGAGGAACATGGAGAACCCTATTCCTTTTTCATCGCACACCAGACTGGAAGCTGGCCATGTTCACAGGCTGCCTCGAAACAGGGAGAATCACAGGCAGAAAATCCTTTTAGTCTTCTCCAGCATCATACCAGGTAAAAGTCAGGCTGAAAACCAGGGACTCCATGTCACAACACATTAACTGCTAAAAGGACAGATCCTGCAGTCACTACATAAATCTACTTCAAAAAGGCCCGCAAAGACCAAGCCTTTGAACAAACCTCATCTTATCTTGTAGAAGCACCGCACTGAAGTGAAATTACGCTTTCTGTGCATCATGTTTGGAGACAAGATATTAACCTTTAATTGCATTTCATTTTCAATGTATTGCTACACCTCAAAACTTTACTAAATAAATAAGATCTGACAAGAGGTTAAAAAGCATCAAACACAACACCAGTTGGGAGGAGCTAACAGGAAGATCAGCCAGCAGGTTAACCAACAGAGTCTATTTTCTGAACTTACCTTAAAATTAATTTGCATCATGGGAAGAACGTGAAGCAAAGTACCATCCCAGTCCACACTGATGAGGGAATTAACAGTTGCTGACTCCAAGCACTGCAGCGTTTTGTACTTATCACGGGACACACTCGCTTTTGAGCCCAGAACTTCAGCAATTGCTTTAAAAACATCAGATAAAGAAAACTGTAAGAGTTCATTTTTTGCTTGTTTTGGAGATATTCCTAATTATTACACTAGATCATATTCAACAAGATACAGTGTTTCACATTCTAAAATTAAGATGAAAAATCTGTAATGGCTGTTAAAAAATGCTGGCTCTTGCATTTTAGCCGCAGAATTGTGTATGACAACTGGAAAGAGAAGGAGAATAGAAGTACTTTGATAAGTTCTAAGTCATATTTCTTTGGTAGAATGTTACCAAGGTGAACTGGTATTTATCCCAAAGATGTCAGGAACACAGGCAGTTTCTGGAATTTACGACAAACAGCCCACCTTAAAGACAGACTAAATTTCAGTGAAAGTAAATCTTGTATTGACGATTTTAAATATACTCAAGAGCACAAATGGTACACAGCTGCCTGCTCTGGAGTATACATCTGGGCAACCATGTTGGTTCCTAATGCTGTAACCGAGTGAAGCATGGCACATAAGATTTTCTTTAAGTCAAAAAAGATGTGTTTTGTTTTGGGGAATGCTTCGTTAAAATTGATTTCATTAAAACTGATTACTATGAATATTTCGGAAAACAGGTAGTATAACCCTGGAAGGAAAAACTGTTAGCAAAACAGAAGTTTAAGAATAATTATATCCCTTTGCTGTTTCTTGACAAAATGAAATTAACACCAAAAATATCATAAAGACCTCATTTATGGTTTTTTTAATTGCCATCAGCAATTTTCTCACCACAATCAATTAAACTGGCTCACTCATTTAGTATCCAAATTGCCTTCTGTATATTCCGGGGTTAGTAAGCATGGCAGAAAAAATAATTATTTCAGAAAGTTAAAACATATTGATTAGAAAACTAAAAAAACCCTAGCAGTAGGACTATTCAATATATTTAATTTCTTTACAGAATATCTAATCATCAAGACTAAACAATCTTCAAGAAAAAGGTCTTTTAACACTGATTTAGAGATTTATTTAGTTATTTAATCCCTTACACTTTTTTTTTTTTTTTACATACCTAAAAAAACTTTTTCTTTTCCAATGGAATAGGTGCCACAGACAACAAGAGTACGTGGGTTTAAAGTCACTGTCTCAAAGGCAGTATTGACGGCAAACTGGATAACCTCTTGCTGAGAAGGAAAAGTGTATTCAGGACTACAGTATCTGGGGCAGGGAAAGAAGATACACACTTCGTTACACAAGATGGACGATATCTGAATTTACCAAGGCGGCCCTCAAAACCGCATGCCTATGAGAACAAAGTAATTAAAAAGATGTTATCCTTCTATGTAATTTCAGTCTACTTGAGGTCTACTTATTAGAAACCACTGAGATGCCCAGATGAAACTGTTGCAACAAAATTTACTTTGAGTCTATCAGTCTTTTCTCTACAACTATTCACTTGTCTGACACTGACGCTCAATTCTGCGTTTTTTTTTCCTCTATAAATACCAACTGCTTTTTCAAGCTAGATATTTGTGTTATATACTAATTACATCCTTATGTCTATTTTTTGTCATGAACACAAACCATAACATAAGGCATTATTCATTCACAGAAACATATGGAACAGAAATAAAAGGCTGCAGCTGGGCATTAGTCATCATGCACAAAAAAAAACAATTTTATATACATGAGTCAGAGAAAGGTCTAACGAAAACCTGGACAACTGATTTAACCATTTGACATTCTTTCACTCTTTGAATTCCCCCACAATCCTTTTCATAATGGAGTTGAATCCACCTAAAACTAGTGTTCCACGAACCTCTTGTTTTAGAGCTGAACACTCAATGTATGAGTTTTGACACCGAGAATTTAATATCACTTATAAATAATAAGGCCATCTCAGCAAATACCTTGGCATCTTTTCCACCACCCACTTTTATTGTCTCATGTAACAACCTATGAACAAGCTAGAAATACATGGACTTTCAATAAATACCTCATTTTATTCAACACTAAACAGAGCAAACAAGTTTTAAAACATCATTTATACTTACATTTATTTGTTCACATAAGATCTTACTAAAGCAAAAAGAGGGTTATACTGAAAAAAAGAAGTTAACCACAACTTACGTGGTATCCAGGTAAAGGGTGTGGACTTGTTGACCGACCAAAGCAGGGTAGCGCTCCATAGAAGGATCTGCCCTGAAGTCTCCTGTGTGCAGGATAACAGTTCCACTCGGTAGAGAGAAAAGGATCATTGTTGCACCTGGACAACTGAAACAAACGAAAAACCTCACACAAATGATGTTAGCTCTCTATATTGATAAATTGCCCTACAAGATATACCACCCTTCAGCAGCAGGAAGGTGTGCAGAACAGCATTTTAAATCACAGCTACTATGCAGCCTAATTTAGCTAGAAATTCCTGATTTCTAAAGGAATTCTGAAGCTCATCTCATGGCCATAGACAAGCTAAGACTTGAGTTCTCAGCTGAGATGGAAAGAAGAAAAAAAAACATACCAACAGTAAAGTAATCAAGCTTTAACTGCCTTTTTGGGATGCTCTGGCTTCTAGGTACGACAAAGATGCTGCCTCAGTTGCAAACCTTGAGGTTCTATTACTTGATTCAAAGGGGAAACACCACACCAAAGAGAAGCAGCATTCTTATCCAGGAGAAAGAGAATTGTATTATTGCACATGTATCTTCATTCCTGCAGGACTTACTGAAGCATTTCCTTTTAAATTCTATTTGCAGATTTTAAACATTATCCTCCATCCAGAATTCCCTCGTTCCTGATTCCCAGCAAATCCATTGCACCTTCTGCAGTTCCTTGCCAAAGCTGTCTGAAGGGCAAGAGCTGACTGGAAAACCAGAGTGGGACTATTTTGGACATGAATCATCTGTAAAGGGTAAATGAAATCTCAAAAAAACAAAAACTGGCATGAATCAGAGCTAAAATGACAGAATTAGTGAACTCTCCAAGAAGCTGAACTTCGTACCTAACGTTTATATGCCTTACAAATTGAAGCAGAGGATCACAAACAGGAAAAATGAGAAGTGTCCAAATTACATAAGCAATGAGTTTCCTTCATTCTCATACAGGATTCTCAAAGGACCTCATGGAAACTTCTCTCTCCAACTATAAAAAAATCCTACGATAAGTGATATTCAAACCAGCTGTGACACAGTGCTGCATTTCAATATATACTTGAGAGAAAGGACTTTTCCTCTAGCCCATAGCCAAATAAGGTACCAAGAGGCAGAGCAGCAAGAGCACAGGGCTGGAAGTCAGGTGCTACTGAACTTTAAATCCAGCATTACCCCATAGTGCCAGTTTAACAGACAAAAATCTCACCCTTTCTCACCAAATCCAGTAGAAGTCTTCTTCCAGATTCCAAAAGGTTTTTCTTTAAAGTTCAGTTTTCAAAATGTTGGCTATGTTTTGTCTCTCCCGGGATCCAAAGTATCCCATTTTTCTTCAGCTGAAGATTTCGCTATCTTCAGTTGAAGATACAGAAACCTAACACACCTGATAATGAAATTTAGGATGTTCCCAACTATACACCAAAAATTAAAAGTGTCCAGACCATCAGCAAAATCATTCAGCCTCTCAACAAGCTTAAAAATTATGGAGCTATGTGTGGTTAACACTATGTACTCATTACAAGCAAACAAAGTTAAACTAAAATTATCAAAAAACCCTATGTTTCATTTTCAAACATAACTCACCTATTTCAAAAGCTACCTACTTGCAAGAAATTTAGGCTGCTACATGCCTAATTCCCTTCTGAAGTGAAAAAGCATGTTACTAAGCCAACTCAGGAACGCGAATTATTTTTATCCTTTTTTTTCAGATCCACTGAAACCTAAAAGTCATGAAAACATAAACTGTATCTGCACAGCTATTTATCTTTAATACTCTATACATACAAATACTCCACAACAAATCCAACGATACATACTGATTGGCATCGAGCAACAACACTTTGATCCCGTTCACTATACATTCTGTGTCCATCGGCAGCACATGGATGTACTGCTCTTTGACTCGAAGTTTGCTCTTCACCAGATTGCCAGTTATCTGTAACAGGGAAAGGATTTAATATGGAATAGGAACAAAATCTAAAAAAGGCCTTTGTTTATTTTAGAAACAAAGGGTCTCAAAGCCAGACTGCCTGGCTTAGAGAGAAACTGTGAGAAACTATGAGATCCTGGCTATAATCAAGGCTTTCAGTAGCATTTCACCTCTCAAAAAGCAAACTGAAAAAAAGATGTCTTAAAAAAGCAAACTTCTAAAAGCCTGTCAACAGGTTATGGATTGGAATCAGAGGAGGCAAACAAGGGGGAATAACAAAGCCTTCTTTAAACAACTGAAGAAGTTTCCAGGTCACAAGCCCATGATACTATCACAGAGGACTGCTGTCACCTGAACATCCACCAGAAGGGCAACGTGGGACACAAGCATTCCTGGAGACTTCCACAGTAAATCAGAAACAGTTTTTCTGATGCAGGTTCTGGGCAGGTTGATGAGGCAAGGTGCCCTACCTACCATGTTACAAGTCAAGTAGAGTTGGCTGGACATATGACAGCTAATGGCAGCCTTGGCCATTCAGCAGCCTGAAGCACAGGACACACAGGACCAGGCTAGCACAACTCCATTTACTCAGTGTGGAAAAGAGAAGGCTTAAGCAGAATCTAATTTCAGACTTGCGTCACTTGAATAGAGTTATAGAGAAGACAGGAGTCAGATTCTTCTCCATGATGCACACAAAAAGATCAACCTACAATCTCAAGCTGCACACAGGGACATTTCAACTGTGTATTACGAAAACATTTCAGAGTGGGTAAGCACTGCAACGGACTGCGAGGAGACGCAGTGGACCCTGTCCTGTTTTCAAAATTTGACCGACAAAGGCTCTCTGCAGGCTGATCTAACTTTGAAGTTAGGCCCACATTGTGCCAGAGATCAACCTGTAAGACTTCTAGGGATCCTTTTAAACCTGAATTTTTTCATGGTATCTAGACAGGGAAGTTTCACTAATCTTCTTCATCAGTCAAATCAGGGTAATAATTTCTTATAAGCGAAACCCAGAGACCCCTACACATATCCACTGTGCCTAGCTAACCCAACAACGGAACCTCTGATCTATTTATTTTCATCAGTATAAAACTGATTATAGTTGCATATGGATTTGATAATATCTAGTAATCTTTGAAAACCTTACCTTGTTACAGTAGATTGGAAAACTGAAGTTTTTTGTTAGCCCACAATAGTGATCAGAGTGAAAATGAGTAAGGAAATAAGCTGTGCAGCCTTCAATTTCTCCATACTGGAAGGCATCAACTGTAAAACCAGTTCCTACAGCAAAAAGGGAAGGAAAGCCAGTCAGTAAACATGCAAAGTTCACAACTAGTTTCTAATTATTTTTTCCTTTTCTTGTTCTTTCTTTCTTCCAAATTAAAAGGGAATACAGTTACACTGCATACAGCTGAAGGAGCCATTTAAAGATGCACGTGGTCTGCACATGAGCCAACAGTCACAGAAAAAATTTTCACTTATTAAAATAAAAAATTAACTAAACATCCACAAACAAACACTTTCACAGGTGTCCCAAATACCTATTGTTCAGCTGCCGTCCTACACAGATGGTAACTGGTTAAGCAAATGACACATTTATCTACGTTCAGCTGGTATTTTTGAAAGTTCATTTAGATTAAAATCTAATACCAACTTCTTAACAAAATAAAACAGATAACAGCTTAACAAAACGCGTTTTGCAACCAAATCGCAACTTTTCAATTATTCTACATTTAATATTCCTGTTAAAACATGCTACCATATAATTATCATTCAAGCAATCTGGAGTCTTTGAATATATCTGCTGGGATGAAACGTGACCAATTTGCCACTGTACGCTTTCAGTGAGGTGCTGTTTGTATAAAGATGTTGCCTAAAGACAGCTGGATAGAAGATAGCCCTTTTCTCTGCAAATGGAATGGTTTTTTTTAAATGCAAACATACCAATAAATGGTCATTTCACATTGGGTTAGTTTCTTAAAACCACCAAATAGTGCATAGAACTAATTCACCTGGTGGCACTCAATTATTTTTATTTTCATGTTATGCACATTTCCCAGATCTTTGAGGAGAACTAGAAATAGTTCTACTTACTTGATGCTAGAACTTCAAGTATTTGCAACTCAAAAAAAAAAAAAAAAAAAAAAAAAGGCAGTCTGCTTATTAAAAATCACAAACCAAAAATTCCCCAAGTGTTTGAGAGGTACCAGACTCAGAACTTCAGGGAGGCTGAATTAGACTAGGCCATGGGGATAAATATCTACCATTAGCATCAGAGAAAATACAGTTAAATACACTTCAAATGCAGTAACAAAATTCAGAACAAAGATAATCTAGATAATAACAAAGCAACTTTAAAACTGCATTGTAGGCATAGGAGTCTGGTCTTCCAATTTATTATATATGGAAAATTCTCTAAGCCCATCAAACACATGATACTGGTGTAGCCCCACAAAGACTTACAGATCAGTCTTCAAGTAGCAGCTTGGCACTTAGGATCATGAATGTATTTCTATTTGGCTTCCTCAAATATCCACCTAAGACAGTCTTTTAGTGGTAATGGGAACTGTGAGGATCTGAAGCTTTCAAAGCCACTGATCCATCATCCTGTAACTTACGTAACTGCTTGAGGAGATCCTGATAAATTCTTGGCTGTTTCCTTAACTAAATTCTTCTGCTTGGTTTTCATTTCTTCGTTTTCACAGTTGTAGTAAATCATATTTCTAATACTATTGAACTTCAAATGCAAAATTAAACTCAATTTTTTAGCCTATGTAAGGAAATAATTGCTATTGACAGCCCTATTTTCAGGCACAACTGAAGCAATGTAAAAGATTAAGTTCAGGAATTCGGAGTGAATACTAACAAGGGATATATTCAAAATCATTTAAGAAAGTAGAACCATCTTTCAATACTACTTATGTTTTTTGCTCTGTCAAGAACACTTAGAAGTCAGTCCTTGAAATAATTTTCCTGAGAGAACTATTTCACTATTTTAAGCCATTGCTGACGCTCTGGTTCTGCAATCACCTTCTTTTGGAGGTCTGCACCTACACAAGATTTTATCAGCTTAGATGGAAGAAAGAAAATTCATTATGAGCTGCAGTCTAAACAGTTATGAAGAGTGAATACTGAAGCCTAAAATTAAGAAAAAAAAAAACCAACAACACTCAAGCCAAAAATGGCTAACCTCTACAAAAAGCAACAGTTTCCTCTCACCTGGTATTTTCTTGTAGAAAGGGCAGTGTTTTTTTCTTGCTCCTTCACCTGTAGCAGGTAATTCTTTAAATTTTTTTCTCCACCTTCGTTGGCCACCAGAACTTACATCTGCAAAGGCTCCATTTTTACTTGAACTTTCTGTAACTGCTTCTACATCTTCCACAGACCCTTCAGCTTTCCTTTTTTGCTGCCTGGGCCTCTTTCCATTGGGAGTCACTGAATTTGGTATCTGCTTTCCCTCACTCACACATGTCTCTCCTTTGCTTTCCTCTTTTACTTTGGGTTTTAACCCAAAGAAAACACCAATGTCCATTTGTTTGAGTTCTTTGGCAGAACTGGATTTGGCATTCATACTTGCTAAAGAAAGAGATGGCACTGTTTTAGAGATGGGGCCGGGAAAGCACACAGCAGCCGTATTAAGATTTCCTTTTTTCTCCACTACTGACCGCAAACTCTCTGGGCAAGCTGTTTTTTCAACATCATTAGCAGTCGTTTTATCTGTATTAGCTAAAATGCTATTTGGGTCCCTCAAAACATTACTTTTCTTTGTCAGAAGAGACCCAGCATCCTGTCTGACCAGCAGTGATGATTTCTCAGTAAAACTCACGTGTGCAGAATCCAAAGTACGAGCACCTGTATCTTCTGGCTCTGTGTTACCTGTTTTAGCAGCAACGCAAACCAATTCTGCCTGCTCAACCTCCTCACAATTAAAAGGAAAAGAGGATGCACTGGCTTGTGCCTCTTCTTGATGCTGATTATCTTCACATGTTGAATTACACAACTTGCTGTTCATGTGACTCTGAGAAACAGTTTTTAAGCCGTGCTCTATATGGTTCAATGTATTTACTTCCTCAGAGTGGTTTTTTTCAACTATGAAATTTCCCGTTTCGGTATGCTCATGCTGAGGCTTCTGCTGCAAGAGAAGTCCATCAAATGTTTTACATGCAACAGAATGAGATTCTCCATCTTCAAAGTTCCAGACTTTGAATAATTTATTTTGTGGTATTTTTAGTTTCTGCTCCTCTTCCTCAGTTTCCTCTTCGCTTTCCTCAAAAGTACTCAGTGGAGAATAAGAAATTTCACAGTCACTGAAGTCTGCTTTTGACTGTAGTAGACTTGGCTGATTTGTATCTTTCAGATGACACAGGTCGTCTCCTGTTCCGCTTTCTTGAGAGGATGCAAAGTCATAAAATTCAAATTTACAACTATTATCTGTGGTCTGTGTAAGCTGAAGTGTCTGTTGAGGCTTTTGAACATTTGCAAAAGAGGAAGGAATTTCACCGATTGTATTTAGAGACTTCATTTGCGGTGAACTCTGTACCATCAATGTACAGTCACCATCTGGGACATTTTTTACATTATTAGTTGGTTTCTCATTCTGTGAGTTTTCCTCTACATGACTTGGGGAACAGCTGGGCTTTGTAGCAGTAGAACACGTCATCTTCCTCTCCAAATTGTTTGCTGAAGAGTTAACAACATAATCTCCTGCCCTGCTTGCTGCAAGTAGAAAATGGCTGTAACGCTTGTAGTGGGATGGAATGGTGGAAGTGCACTGTAAACCATCAGGACACTCTATGAAAAAAGTTAAACAGAGAAATAATGTCTTTGTAAATATAGCTGGCACAATTATTAAAATAAAAAATCACATGAGACACAATTTAAAAGCTTTTTCTTATAAATTGGAGGACAGAAGGTACAAGTAAAGTCATTTGCAAGCTGCCAAGATCTGCCCTGAGCTGGCTAGAAATGAGATCACTTCCAACCTGAAACCAAATGGCTGCTGCTAATACAGCTCGATGCCTGAATTAATACAGGCCTTGAACAAGAGCACTTCACCCTGTTTCAGTGCTGTGCTAATGTAATCATATGGCTTCTAGTTCAGAATTGTCTCACGTGCAAGCCATGAGCTTGGAGCAGCAGCACCAGAAAAGGCCAGCAGACGTGTTTCAAAATAAACCAATTCTTGGTTCTGAATCAACCTGAAATTTCATTTCAACTTGTCTGCTGGGTTACATGTGAATTTGTTTTTAAAAAGTCATATATTTATTTACATGGGAAAAGCATTCAGGATTGAGATGCCAGACAAAAATCTGTGGCTGTTTCCTAAGCCTTTTTTGTCGGGAGTTTACTAGCCCTACTTTTGAGAATGTTAAGGTGAATGCATAAATCAATCAGAAGGGGTTTTTACCTGTTAATTATGGGAGTAGGAAATGGAAATCAGGTGTTAACACATCTACCTTAAGTTAAAACCACTGCCAAAATCAGGATTAAAGGACTTGCATTTCACTGTTCTGAAGAAGAAACTTCAAGGGGAGTTACAGAAGATGTAAAAAGAAAAGTGACTGTTTACCTAAACCAGCTTTTATTCAAGTCTCCTGACTGTATGCTCTCTATTTTTTAAAGTTACAAAAAGTATTAAGAACCTAATTTGGATACCTGGATCTGTTCAGACATGGTGTTTCCCCACATGAAATCAGCAACTGGAATGAGTCAGTTTTATTCCTCCTGTACAGAACTCAAAACTGTTGTTTTATGATACAGGAATGTTCATGTATAAATCTGTATAAAATTTCTAAAGCATACTGGACCAGAGGCTAACGTTTCAAGTAAATTAGCCTAACAGACTGATTCAGCTTCCAACTGTCCATAGACAACTGGACAAGCCACACAGTAACATGGATCCAGTATAATAAAATTTATACCTAAGGAGAAAGAAATTCGGTGTGAAAAGTAGCATCCTCTTAACTGAAGGAGGTTTTTTGCTGACAATGCCTTACTAATTGAAACAGGTTCCATTATTTTAAAATGGTAAGTATACACCTCCAATTTCTCCAATAAACTACTAAAGCTGGAGCTGGACAAACAACCATGAGCCTTTATGACCACTCTACAAAGTTTTAAGATTAGATTCTGATGACAGATTTTCCAGTCAGATTTCCATGTTCTTCACAAAGAACCAGAAATCTCATACAAAAACAATACTGATAAATTATCAGTAGTAACATTCTAAATCATACCAACTACCACCTTAGATTTTGAACTAAATATGAAAACCAAGGTTTACAGCAACATTATGTGAGAAGCCCTTAACTTTTTTCTCTGAAGGCTTTTTTCTTACTCTATGCGTACCTTTTTCAATGGATCCTGGAGTATCCAAACATTCAGCAACATGCCATCGAGGTGTCTGCACCAACAGCAAAGAGAAAGGCATCTGGCAGCTGGGACAGTATCCATCATGAACAGGCTTTGCACATTGCGAGCTCTGTTCCGACAGGCTGCTCACGCTTTCCTGGGAATGCACACTACTGTCATCTTTACATTGATCTCCATCCTGATTTGGCTTTGATCTCTGCTCAGTTTTCTGAAGCGTATAATTTTTTTCTACGGATTTTTTTTTATTTCTATTTATCTTTCTTTTTGGCCTGCACTTGCCATCACTCACTTTCTGCACAGGTATAGAGATGCTCTCTGAATTACTCTGATGCTTTTGCTTCCTAATGGATTTGTACTCCCAAATGTCCTCTTCCAACAAAGCATCTTCAGACATGGCAACACATGAAATATTCTTTCTTTTAAGCAACAGTTCACAAATCTACCTTTCCTTCCGCTAATACGCCTTCTCTTCCCTCCCTCCTTCACTACCTGAGGAAAAGCACCTGAACTCCATTTTAAAAAAGCAACACTGGGCCACAAACCAAGCAGCAGTCCGTGATGGGACACAAGCATGGTGGGTCCTATCCTAAAAATAATTTAACGGCCTTCTCTGTGAATAGATGTAATTGCTCCTGTTAAACAAAACCCGAGTCTGTAAGATGCAGAAGGACTTGCGGGGTGAGCCATTTCCTTCAGCGATCCCTCTCCTAACACCCACCCGGCCTCGGAAGGTGAAGCCCGGCCAGCCCCGCTCCCCTGACTGCCACCCCGCT